CTCTCTCTCTCTCTCTCTCTCTCTCTCTCTCTCTGCGACTTAGAAAGAGACGTCACTCGTGTCTCCCATCTTGTTTTGGGCAACATGATTTTGAGAAGCACTTGGTGGTGTCCTCTTGTGTTTTGTTCCCTCTCAAATGTCTGCAAAGGATATCTTCTACTTGCGCATGCGTCACGAGCAGATAAACTCAAACTTCTCTTTTTTTTCTTCTTCTTTCCGGTCCCTGTTTTGATCATCTGCAAGTCAAGAGTGTTGAATTCTGATTCATTTCCTCCCACCTTCGCTAATATCTGCTGCTTGTACTATTACAGAAAGAGAAAGAAAAAAAACTTGGGCTTCTTGTTTTTGGACTGAAAAGAGACCAACTGACTGGGCTTCATTTTGTCCCAAACGAGCTCTAGAGAAAAGACTTGAGAATATTTTCAAATTTCAAGTTTATTTGGGCCAACTCATTTTAATCAAATACAAAATTTCTAGTTTAGGGTTTTAGCCTTGAGGCTTGAGCAGTGGACACGTGTTAAAACTGTTACCGCAGTTACTTGAAGCTGGGAGGAAAAAGCGGCATCCCATCCCATCCCATCCCCCTTTGCATGGCCCCTGACCAGTAGGGCTTGCCCTATATATTGACCAGTCAGAGTCAGACACGTTTTAAGTCTCGACAATGACAATGACGACCTCATATTTGCTTTCGTTTTCTCTACATCAAACTCCTAGACTCCTAGCTCCTCCTCCTCCTTTTATTAATTTAAATTTTACGACGAATTTAATCTTTTAATATTCATTTCTTTATATATATATATATATATATATAAATGTTGGCATATGCTAAAGCAAAGAAAGGTATGGTCCATATAAATTAATTTACATGTGTGTGTTCAAATTCGAATATAATTTTGGAGGTGCTTTGGTGGTCAATGAACCATGTGGCTAGGGATTAGGGATGCTAATATATAGCTAGACCTCCCCCCAAAAGAGTTTGTTGGGCTGTCGATCGTCTGTATTTATGCTGATAGCCTTTGGTTGTCTCATCAAGACAGGGACATAGCACTTGCCCTAAAGTTTTTTTTTTTTTTTTATAATGTATATATATTTTATTTTATTCTTCTTTTTTGTCTGTTTCAGGTAAAAAGAAAAGAACTGAAGTAGGTTTTTAACTCTCTATCAGTTGGAGTTACATTCCTATAATGACCACCTTCTCTTATGAGAAACACTTGTGTAGAATGAGAATAGCAAAACAGTGTTATCTTCGGTTAATCACGGTATCCACATGCGATAACTTTTTCACTTGACATACTGTGATTGGCCGAGGATAGCAAAACAATGCTATTCCCATTTTCACACAAGTTTCTCTGTTTCTTTTATTCTAAATAAAATAGTTATTTATCTACAAAAAGCAAAAACAAAATCAAGTTCTCAGTTATATTGTGTTGTTAATTAAGCTGTGAATATATAGGTGAAATGTATGATTCATAGTGATAGACTCGCCAATTATAAGACTAGACATGTTGTAGTATACCGTCCATTAGAGGGAAGGAAAAATATCTTGGACTAAGCTTTGGTATTGCACACAGGTCCCCAGGCCAATCTCCCATCGACACGTAGTAGAAACCCTAAAGTTGGGAATGTCCAAGATGGAGTTGACATTGCTGTCATTTTATGTAATAGACAGCTAAAAATAATGAAAACCTGCTTCGTCCTCTAAAAGAAAGCAACTCATCAGTCTGCTTATGATTCCTTTTCTATGTTCTCTTAAGCCAAAGCTAAGGAACACCCAACCAACAGAGGTAACAAATTAAAGTTCCTAAAAAAGCTTGCTCTCTCTCTCTCTCTCTCTCTCTAAAAAGCCTAACTTAGCTTACCCTAGAGAGCAAGAATAAAAGAAAACAAAACCTAGTACCATATTTATATTATAATATACATTATTTAAAAGATTTGAACATATTTATTACATACCAAATTCAGAAATTAATTATGGGAAGAGGGAAGGTGGAGCTGAAGAGGATCGAGAACAACATAAACCGACAGGTGACATTCACAAAAAGAAGAAATGGGTTGCTAAAGAAGGCGTACGAGCTCTCAGTTCTATGTGATGCTGAGGTTGCTCTTGTCGTCTTCTCCACCCGCGGCAAGCTCTATGAGTTCTGCAGCGGCTCTAGGTACGTCGATATTATATATGAGAGCTTTTTTGTGTTTTCGTTATGAATTTTTTCATATTTATAATAACAAAAAATGCAGCGTAATTTTCAGGGAACTTGGGTGTGTTGCAAGGTAAAGGGTGCCTTAATATTACAGAAATTGTTTGCGTATCGAATTCGAGATGGGTTTTTTTCTTTCTTTCATTTTAAGGCTTATTGCTTATATGAATTGAAACCGTGAATTTATGACTAAATTTGTACTTGAGAAGAGCTAATCAAATATTTTGAATGGTTGATACAATTAATCAATTCTGAGTTTCTTTTGTAAATTATTCAAGATTGTTCCTAAGGGGTGCGTAATCAAGATTCTCCCTAACTAAGTTACTAAGAATTAAGGGTAGATGTGAGGATCGAGGGTTGTCAGAGTATATGTATATATAGGTCCTTTTCTTTTTGGTTCAAGAAACGTAGCTAGCCCTTTGATTCAGTTTCATTACCTGTAATGACCTTACTCTGAAGTTTACAAGTATTTCTCTAAGTTGGAACAAACGTCTAGTAACCTAGGTTAATAGATTCGTATATGAATCGATGTTCGGATTCACAGTATGATAAACGCACCCGGAATGGATAAAGAAATAAGGAATAGAGATTGGAAGTTTCAAACTCAATCAAGCTTTAAATTATGTTAGGAAATGCACCAACAAACTTTATCACAATCTTATAATTAAGCTTATAAACTCTTCTCGGAGTCGCTTATTTTCATGAGAATTTCAATGGTGTTCCTTCCCTTGATGTGTAGCATGCCTGCTGGAAAATGTTCCACTAATATTAAAATGCAATTATAGCTCTTGTAAAATTTTATTTTTATGGTTTCAACTCCCCTTATTTTCCTCTCATACAATTCTCAAGATAAGATATCAAGGCTTGAATGGTACTAACTTTATTGTGACATGATTTGGGCCTTTTTGCTTTCCTAGCATGTGAATGTACAGAGTGCATGTGCCCTCTTTGCCCTTTTGAATTTGCATTCTGATAATTTCCTACAATCCTTGCCTGCTTTCATTTTCATTTCAGCATGGAGAAGACACTTGAGAGGTATCAAAGATGCAGTTATAGTGCATTGGAAGCGAGTCAACCTGCTCAGGATTCACAGGTTGTCGATAGTTTGTCTATTGTATTAATTAGCTTTAACTTTAAGAAGCATATAAAGCAACCTATATGCCCATAAATTTCTTAATTATCCAATAGTACTTAGGCTCTCAATCTGTTTAGGGACAACTTTAGGGCCCGTTTGATAACCATTTCAATTTATATGGTAGACTACATAGGAAAATGAGAGTGAGAATGGGAGTCATGATGAGATTGAGAGAGGATAAGAGGATGAGAGGATCAGAGGGAAGAGTAACAAAAGTGAAAATTATTTCAAATAGATTTCAGTTTTAGTTTTTATTTTCACTTTTTTTACTCTTTCCTCCCTCCTTCCTCCCTCCTTCATCTCAATCCCATCTTCACTCTCATTCTCACTTCCATTCTCCCTCTTTTTCCTCTATACTCTAGCACAAAAAAATGAAAATTAAAAACTAAAATTGAAATGATTATTAAACAGACCCTTAATTTCTTGGTTTGGCTGATGCATGTTTGTATGTGCTGTAATGGAGTTAAATTTCTCCACAAAACTGCCTCACTGATTTTTGACATAAGTAGTTGAAACTTCTCTGGCATGTTCACAAGCAGAGCAGATACCAAGATTATGTGAACCTAAAAGCAAAAGTAGAGGTCCTACAGCGCACGCAGAGGTATATATGATCAACATTTTGATAGAATTAGAAATTTGTTTGCAAAGCACCCTTCTTGTTATGTAGGTCATATAATTATATTGAGTGGACATTTTCTTGGAATTCTTTTTAGAAATTTTCTTGGGGAAGATTTGGGTCATTTAGGCACCAAGGAGCTCCAGCAGCTTGAGAATCAACTCGACATGTCCTTGAGGCAAATCAGGTCAACAAAGGTACGTATATTTTCAAAACCTGCTCCAAATTAGTTAGCATATGTATCAATTTTCAACGGGGTTTAGCTCAGTACAAAAGGGGCTTGATTTGCAGACTAGTGGTCTCAAATTCAAACAACTATAGCACCTTGGTAGTGTTTGTGTGAGAAACCCCCTCTCTCTTATAGTTTAAACTATCGCTTATATTTATTATTATTTTTTAAATTGTAACAATGTGCTATTTACTTGTTTGCAGACCCAAGTTATGCAAGGTCAGATATCTGATCTTCTGAGGAAGGTTAATATATATGCAGAGACTGTCTAATTTTTACTTTGCGCTTTCTTTTTGGTGAATTATGTTACCAAGTCTTTCAAGAATTAATTGTGCAGGAACAGATGCTGCTGGAAGCAAACAATGAACTGAGAAGGAAGGTAAATATACACTCAAGCTCAAATTCATGTCTTCTCTCCTTATACTAAAGCCTTTAGTCACGGAAAAACGCGATCAATAATCTACAGAAGTAACCCGAAAAAAGTGACTATGGCCAACATCTTTTGTAGCGGTTTTCAAATAGCTATACATTTTTGGGTCTAAATTTTCTTGTAAATTGGGCAGCTGGAAGAATGTAACGCAGCCATTGAAAGATATTCATGGACAACTAAGGAGCAAAATCAAAATGCTCAATTTGAGGGATTCCTTGACCATTCACAATGCAACAATACATTGCAGATCGGGTAACCATATATCTCATGGCTAAAGGGTCGTTTAATCAAATTGCATTAATTCCTTGCATCTGTTTTTTTTTTAAATTATAAAAGAAATTAAATTTTGTTCTCTTTCTATGGGGGATACGTTCACAGCTACAATCCTCCTGCAGTAACAGATCATCATGAGCTACAATCCTCAACGCAAAGTCATAGTGGATTATTCGTCCCTGGGACGTGGATGCTCTGAATCTTGGAGCAATGAAAATATTTGTTGGTCATATTGTTCGCTTATAATTTGTAGTTAATTATTAATTATTATCTCACATGCAGAGAATAAGGGAACATTAATAAACTTTGTGTTAAATATATGTAATGTTATATGTATCCTACATTAGGATTTGTGCTTCGTCCAAAAAAAAATAATATATGATTGTGCCCTACAAATTTTCCTTAATTACATTTCTTTTAATATTTCACCTCTCACCTAATATATTACATGTATTAACATACATTTCTATGTTTATTTGGTCATTTAATCATGTTTAGTTCAACATGATATTAGTCACTGCATAACTTTGAAACTCTAACATATTTCAGAATGCATAATTTTTAGAATCTTGATATACATTCCAAGTCCAATACAATTTTATTTTGGAATTTTCGGATGTCAAAATTGATTTGAACACACCAAAATCGGAATTTTCAATCCAACTTGCACCCTTAAATGAGAGTCACGTCATAAAACAAATGAGCAGAAGATTATATATTGTTTCCATTTTTGTTTACTATAAATCCACACCTTCCATTATTTATCTCATTCTATATCTTATTAAAGGAAATTAAAAAATACAACAACAAAAAAAGGGGCAACGTACTATATTGTCTGTCAATCAACAACACAACATTAAAAAATGCCCCCCACACAGCGTTCTAAGCAAACTCTTGACATAACTAAATGAGTCAACTTAGTAAGAAATAAGAAAAAAGTTGATCGACATGACATGTTATTGTCAAACTTAATCATAAATTATTATTCTAATGCGTGCCACAAAATGAACATTTCCTTACCCAAAAAGGTTTAATAAATTAACAAATTAATATTTTTCTTATACAAAGCGATATTTCAAATTATTTTAATTTACATAAAACGGATATTACGAACCCGAATTAATAATAACGGACACACTACCTTGACCAACTAACGAAATCACAAATGCTAAAACGGTCAACATCACGGTAATGTGCGGTGCGAAAGCTGTCAGTGTAAAGAAGACCGTACGATGTGTGAGGCTAGTAAGTAACTAGTGAGCTTCTAAATGAGCTCCACTAGAATACAAGAAAGATAAAATGTGGTTCCTAATCCATAGGAAAACGACGACACATTACACCCCAGCCAACCACAGCTCGACAACACATCCTCAAAACCACTTGTACACCCTGAAACCGCTTTTCCATCTCAACTCGTGCTATATTAATTATAATCCCCGTTTTCCATATACCGCACATACTTTCTCAGACGCCTTCAGAGCTTTGGCTACAAGAAGAAAAAAAAAAACCAAAATGAATTCAGTTCATTTCATTTCTTTATATATATAGGGTTTCAGGTTGTTGTCTTTCTTTTTTTGGGGCTGGCCTTGGATTTTTCTCTTGTTTGGGTTTTTTGGTGAAAGAAAAATTAAAGAGGCAGGAGGTGCAAGCAAAAGAGTGTAAAGTTTTAACTGAGAGAGATCATAACTGTTATCATGGGGAGGGGTAGGGTTCAGCTGAAGCGCATAGAGAACAAGATCAACAGACAGGTGACTTTTTCCAAAAGAAGAACTGGGTTGCTCAAGAAGGCTCATGAGATCTCTGTCTTGTGCGATGCTCAGGTTGCTCTGGTTGTCTTCTCCAACAAGGGCAAACTCTTTGAGTACGCCACGGATTCATGGTAAATATTACACATATATGTTTTTCTTGATTTCTGTGGTTTTGTTTTCTTTGTCCGTAGGGTTTCACTGTATAACTATGTCCTGACTCCTGCTCGCTGATCAATTTGTCATCTGGATGATGCTGGTTAGTTTATGTTTTTAAGATGTAGATCGCGCAAGGTAGTTTGCAGATCCATGACAGCGTACTTGATTTGATGTAAAATAGTACTCTAAGATTATACTCTTTTGTTTCTGTTTTGGTCAAATTACTTCATGCGTACTTGTCTAAATTTGATCTCAAAATTATGTTAGTGAGGAAGTACTTGTATTTATTTTGGATCAGTGACGAGACTAAGCGAAAAAACCTGTTAACATATTTGTAATAAAATTTAAAAATAATTAGTAATAATTTAGCTGCAAAATCGTTTAAATTATTATAGAAAGAATTTAATTTGATTCACTTCACTTGAGAAACATAGTAAAATCTCCAACGAAGTTTTTGTCAGCAAAAGTGAAAATGATCAGATAAAAAGGAGTGGAAGCAGCAGGAAATATTCCACTTAACATATATATAGACCCGAGAAAGCTCAAAGAAAAAGAAAAGGCATCAGCACAGACTAAAGTAAAATATTTACCATTTGAATGCATATAAGAAATTATAATCAACATGACTTGAAAGTTCTTGAATGATATAATCTATCATTGATTATTAGCTAATTTGTTGAAGAATATAAGTCCTACATCGGAATCTTGACTAATATCACCGAGGCCTTTTGTGATAAAACCCCCACCTACTGGGTTTTGTAAGTGGTTAAGTTGGGGACAATATCGGTGTTGCTAGTAGTGAGCCACTGGCCCGTCTCTTTGAAATTTAACATAATTAATATTTTGATTTCATCTAGATATATATTAATTAGTTTGTACATTTTATGTATCTTGATGTGCTGATCATGTACAGCATGGATCAAATACTTGACCGCTATGAGAGATACTCTTACGCAGAGAGACAGCTAGTCGAACCCAATTTTGAATCACAGGTACTTGCCTGAAACAAAACTATGCGGATATTATTGTATCATTAGACTGCAGCCTGCAGGACCTATTTCTTTTTATTCTTTTTTAAATGATTGATATGGTCTCTTGATAACGTTGTACGTTATATATATATATATATCACATGCAGTGTAACTGGACCTTCGAATATTCTAGACTAAAGGCTAAAGTTGAGCTTTTGCAAAGAAATCAGAGGTACTATTTAGTGCTCCAGTTACAAAAACATGCTCACTTTGTTTTCCTTTGCATGTTTTTATTAATTCCTTGAACCTCTATGGGCAGGCACTATTTGGGAGAAGATCTCGATTCGTTGACTCTGAAAGAGATCCAAAGTTTGGAGCACCAGCTTGAGACCGCTCTTAAACAAATTCGATTAAGAAAAGTACTGAACTAACTAGCTAGAATCAGCCTCCTAATTCTACTTTTGAAAATAAACAAACACTTTAATATGATGTTACATTGACTTGTATTTGTTTTGATGGCACTGTAAATTATTTTCTTTGTACTGCAGAACCAACTCATGCATGAATCCATCTCTGAGCTTCAGAGAAAGGTTAGGACTGTTGTAGCATAATTTGTTACTTGTAAAAATTGCAGCATCGAGTTAAATATGTTCGTATGTTTTTTCTCATTCGTTGTGACAGGAAAGGGCGATGCAGGAGCAAAACAACTTGCTAGCAAAGAAGGTAAATTGCTTATGTTCTATTAAAATTGCATGCACGCGACGCAATCTTCATGAACTTGATAATCTTTTTAAATAAACTACCAGGTGCCACAGTAAAGTCGTCATCAAGTTATCTAGAGTTTGTGGTCTGGAGTTATATATGTCTTTAATTATTTTGCTTCTTTTTATTTTTATTTTTATGGTTTCTGTTTTCCTATGTACAATTTGTGAATAGATCAAGGAGAAGGAGAAGGCCGCAGCTGAGGAGGTTCATAACTGGGAGCAGCAAAACAATGGCCTTAACCTGCTTCCACAGCCGCTTCCACAGCCGCTTCCACAGCCACTTCCACAGCCACTTCCATGTCTAAACATGGGGTGATTAATTTTCTAGGACCTATCTATCTTGAAATTAATGTTTTCATTTCTTTGTTAGTAAATACTTTACATCTAAAATCATTCTAAGTTACAAGGAAATATGTTATAAAACACCGCTGAATGGATAAACTTAAACTTTTTTTTTGGGGTCAGAAATCGATAAACTTGTTTCAACTAGTAGAAAGTAGTATAATTATATAGATATGAATTTATTTAAGTGGGTTTCCATTAATTAATTAACTTGCTGATCTGGAATACATCATATGATCATTTGCAGGGGCACGCAGCAAGATGAATTCCTTCAGGTGAGGAGGAACCAGCTGGACCTTACTCTGGAACCATTATATTCATGCAACCTGGGATGCTTTGCTGCTTGATCATCAATCAGTACAAAAAGAACAAAACAAAACTACATATGTTGGTTTGGTTGTGTATTAAATTTCTGGTTTGTTGGTAAATTTGAACCTAGACATTGCTAAGGTATGTGGTCGCAATCCAATCATTGACAGACTGATTATCAAGCACAGCCAATGAGGATTTGAACTTTGAAAAACTGTTCTATTTTATTGATGCCATAATTGTTGAGTAAATATATGTCTGCTATAAACTCTATACGACTGCCTTTTTGTCTAATTTACCCAAAAAATAAAAATAAATTCAGAAAGAAATTGAATGGTAAATAAAGTTAGGTTATAGAAAATGTTTTAATATAAGACACTGTGGTTATGCACAAGAAAAAAGAAATGGAAATATTAAGTAAATGGAGTTCATATATAAGAGAGGTTAACAGCTAGAATAACATCTATCTCATTTGGACAATTAAGCCGGAAAGTTATAGAATACTTACAGAGCCTCGATCTTTCGAGAAGAAAGATTTTCAAAAAAGGAATGGAAGAATTGATATTAATCTAAGGTATCTAACATATTAGCCTTCCACACACATACTTCTTAGAGTTTAGATTGCTTAATCTCTTCCACACACACACACACACATATATATATATATATACTTCAGTTGGTCGCTGCCCTTCACTCTTCAGTGATCATTGCATGCTAGACATTTTGGTTAAGTCTCAAGACGATTCATCAAATAGCATCACCTGGAAAATCAATTTGAAGACAGTCAAATTCCATATGAAGTTACAAATCCAGCTTTTTAATTTTTAATTTTGATTTTTGCTAGGGCTGCCGCATAGTGTGTGTAGCTCTCTCACTCTTTTGTGGGGTTGGTCGGACATACCACATAGTGAGGCGGCGCGATTGAAACTTTTCTCGGTAGATGAAAAAAAAGATATTTGTGACCTATACAAGTTATAAGAGGTTAGGGAAGAAATTGATTACCCGGCTGCAAATAGGACAGTTTTGGCTTCTCTCCATCCATTCTCTGCTTCTAAACGACCGGTCGCAAATGCTAAGCGACCGGTCGCTAGCTTCCTGCGACCGGTCGCAAAGAACTGGCGACCGGTCGCTCGTTGATGTTGCTCCAGACTTCGAATCTGCTTCAAAACGACCGGTCGCAAATGCCTAGCGACCGGTCGCTTTTAGGCAGATTCAAAATCTTCCTTTCAGCGCCAAAACCAACCTTGTATCCTTAGGTGAGCCATTTTCCCAACAGCAAGGTGGTAGTGGTGAGAACACTGCATGGTTGTCTTGGGATTTTCAGGTGTGTATTCTGCAGTCATTACAAAAACAGAGGTGCCAAGTTTTTACCACCAAACTAATAAGAAGACAAATTATATCTTAGAAAAATCAGTTATAGATTTTGCCATATGGCACCAGAGACTGAGAAAATAATAATCACCTTCCAGACATGTGGGGCATTCATCCTCATGTTCTATTGAATTTGAATCATCTAAACGAACAAGTTCTTGGGCTCTTTTTCCAGATGATGATGATGACTTCTCCGAGGAATAGTAGCTGCCAGAGCCAGATGGTGTAATCTCATTGGGTGCTGCAGCCTGATCAGTAGATGGATTGACTGGATCTTTTCTCCCATTCTTGATTGAGGCTGCAAATTCCTTTATCTAAACATTTAATGATAGATGATCATTATCAGAAATTGATTAGAAGCAAGTAAAGCCCAAAAAAAAAAAAAAAAAACAGAACCAAAGAATTTGGGAAACTAAGAAAAGGGTACTACTTGTAATGGAAAACCCAGAAACATACTTTGTTGCACAAGTTAGGGATGAAGCCAACATCATTATTATTATTATTGGCATTGTCAATGTCATCTTGTACATGGAAGCAACAACAAACAGAACCCATGACACAGCTTGATCAGTTTTTTGCTTCCTTCAAGCTTAACCAGTCCTCCCCTGCCTTGCCTGCAGTGATCATAACAAAACCAAAAATATCTAAATATTTTAAGAGGCATAAAATAACCAAATCCAATATGAAAAAAGAGGCTTGATGAAGTTGCAGAGAGAATATAGAAGAAAGCATACTTGATAGATAGATATTTAAGGGCGACGCTTCCTTCCTTCTTCCCATAAAATCCCAAACGAACCAAAACTGAAAACAAAAATAAAGAAGCGGTAATTCAAGTCCTAAAGCCGTGTTATGTACATAATCCTATTTGTGTAAGGATACTGGTTTCCTCATACAATCAGAATTCAGAACTGGAAAGGTCAAATATTACGTGGGGGCCATTGTTTGTGGGCCTTAAGCCCATTTTTGGATTTTGGGTCGGGCCGAAGCCAATTTGGATTAGGCTGAGTTTTGAACCCACTCAACCTAAAGTTTGGAACTAGGGTTTTTTTTTATTTTTTTTTATTTTTTGTGTTCTATTTAAATGAGGGTCAAGCGTAAAGCATTCTCTTGGTTTATTTTCTGTTTCTTAGAGCATCCACAGTAAGGGGGTGTAAATTCGGGGGTGTAAAGCCACTTTTACATCCCCTTTACACCTCCGGGGGGTGTAAATATGTTTTTTGCTCCAGTGGGGGGTGTAAATTCGGGGGTGTAGCCGTGGGTCCCAGCCTTTTATGTTGACTTTTCTTCATTTTTGTTCTCTTTTCTAGGGCGGGTCCCGCCTGCAAGGGATGTAAAAATGAATGTAAATATACATTTTATATTACATCCCCATGGTGGTGATGTATATTTACATACATTTACATCTCACCATTGGAGACGATTCCGGTGACTCGGGGTGTATATTTAACATACACCCCCATATACACCCCCCCACTGTGGATGCTCTTAGTTAGCATACTGTTTCTCTCTTGTTCCCTGGCTCTCGAGGTTAAACGTTTAATTTGAAGACTTGTTGGTTTCGAGGTCGGAGGTCTTTCAATGGCCAAAAAATGTGGTGCAACGAACCCGAAGCTCGCAGAAGAAATCATATTCTCTCATATACTCCCACGGCTACCAGCAGAGGATCTGATGCGATGCAAGTGCGTATGCAAGTCTTGGTCCTCCCTCACCCGCAGCCCTTCCTTTGTCACCGGCTTCCACAATTTTCACAACAATGACACCACTAACTTTTTTTTCAAACAGATGAGCCGGTTCTTGTCGTCAAAAATAGAGCAACAAGGGACTGTTCCAACACCCGCGGCCAGAATTTTCCAATTTCTGAATTATTATTTTACTGATGTGCAGAGTGTCCATGCCTTGGTTTGTGCATCCTCTCACTTTGACTCTGTTTTCATACTTAACCCTACCACCCGAGAGTCCATCCAACTTCCCCATTCCAGTGTAATAGAAACCCGCAAGGATTCGGTTACTTATCGCTTTGGGTACATTCCAAGTACTAACGAGTATAAGGTTCTCCAGATCCTCTCCTTTCGTCTAGACAGAGATGGAAAATGGGATCTTCAGTTTAACACTTTCACACTAGGTAGGGATTCTTGGTGGAGGCCATTGCAGGTAGACCCTCGCCATCTTTTTTGATGCTCTAGCTTATGCCTATGACTCTCATAATAATTTATGTAGACATGGAAGTGTGTGCCTCAATGGGGTTGTCCATTGGATATACGAGAAGCAGAAATTCATAGTCGCATTTGAGGTTAGAGGGGAGACATTCAAAGCGATCCCACTACCTGAAGATTATGATAAAGAGATTGCTGATTATTTTGATCAAGATGCTAATGATTATATATGTGGTGGTAATCCTGATGATTATTGCCATCCAAGTATGGTTAAGGTGGGGGGATGCGTGGGTGTGTTTGTTGTGTTGACAATGACTTGAGACAAGCTGGAAACATGGAAAAGCTTGTCTACCACCTAGAAACACCTTTCCATGTTTTAGGGGAACACAACAAGCTGGAAACATGGAAACATAATTCATGCTTTGGAGATTGTAATTTATTGTGAATTGGATTGTAACCAACGGATAGCTATCTCTAGCTATATGTCTATATTTGTAGATATATATTCAATATGAGTAATAAGAAAAATTAAAATTTGCATTCTCTGCAAAACCTCTCTTATTTCACATTCTCTACTCTCTCAATTACACTATCTTTGGCATGGTATCAGAGCAATCAATTTTGGTTGCTTCTGCATAACCTTGTTCTCTCTTGTTCTTACCTTGTTTTTGCATAATCTCTACTCACCCTTGCTCATACTTTGCTGCTAAATTGTCCCTATCTCATACTTTGTCTTGCCTTAAAATTGGTTGTGATCACAATCCTAATTTGTGCTCTTGTTTGCTGAAGTTCTAAGCTTGTTTGCTGAAGTTCTAAGCTTATTTGCTTAAACCTTGTCCCTGCATAATTCAAACTTGTGTTCCTTTGGTTACTTTGTTCTGTTGTACCCCTGTTGTGTTCTTGAAATCTTCCGCTGCATTTACGTATCCATACTTTCACACAAGACCCGCAACATGGCACCCAAGACTGCTTATGTCATGACTACCGGTGAGTCTCCATCTCCTGCCTTGGTATCCGACTCCAAGCCCGACTCAGGTACACGCTCTACTACATGGATAATTGATACTGGTGCCACTGATCATATGACTTTTGACTCCACTGTTTTTTCCACCTTATCTCCTAAATCTCATTATCCTTACATCACTAGTGCCAATGGGGCTCCTTCTAATGTTGCTGGAGAAGGGACTATATCATTTTCCCCTAAATTGTCTCTACCTCATACACTACTTGTCCCCTCTATTAAATGCAATTTGTTGTCTGTTGGGAAATTCCTTAACTCACATAATTGTTATGCCACATTCTATCATTCTCATTGTAAGTTTCATGACCTTACGACTCACGAGACAATTGGGCATGGTAAACGGAGAGGGGGGTTGTATACCTTGACGGTTTCATCACCACCACGAGCTATCCATGTTCAAAACTCACGTGCTCAACAACAGATTTGGCTATGGCATCGTCGCTTAGGACATCCATCGTTTGGCTACCTTCGACGGCTGTTTCCATCTTTATTCCAAGGCTTAGTTGATTCACAATTTCAGTGTGAAACCTGTGTGTTGGCCAAGAGCCATCGCACTGTATTTCACTCAAGTGATAGTAAAACAGAATTTCCTTTTGAGTTGATTCACTCCGATGTTTGGGGCCCTGCTAAAGTCTCTTCTACTGGAAAAAGGTGGTTCGTTACATTTATAGATGACTGTACCCGCATGACATGGGTATATTTGCTCACCCATAAAAGTGATGGTACCACCATAATCCGCGAATTTCATGCTATGATCACCACTCATTTCCAAGCATCCATCAAAGTGTTTCGGTCTGACAATGGTGGGGAGTATGTAAATGGTGCCTTGGCTCAATTCTTCAAGGACCAAGGCATCATCCATCAAACCTCCACACCCTTCACTCCACAACAAAATGGTGTCGCTGAAAGGAAGAATCGCCAATTACTTGAAGTTGCCCATGCCTATATGCTTGGTAAATCTGTTCCTCACCACTTATGGGGTCATGCTCTTCTCTCTGCAGTCTATGTGATTAATCGGGTGCCTAGTAGCGCTCTGAATTTCCAAACTCCACTAGATACCTTGGCTCATCACATCTCTCTTCCTACCATTCTCAAGTTGCCTCCTCGTGTGTTCGGTTGCGTTGTTTATGTTCATGTTCCTTCTCATTAACGAATTAAGCTGGATCCGTGTGCCCTCCGATGTGTGTTCGTTGGATATGGCTTGAATCAAAAAGGATACAAGTGTTACCATCCTCCTACTAAAAAACTCTTTGTCACTATGGATACCACTTTTCATGAAGATTTGAACTACTTTATGGTTTCCAAGACCCCTTCTCTTCAGGGGGAAAGGGGGAGTGAAGAGAAGAACTTGTCATTTGAAGAGAAGATCGAAAAAAATGCTGAAAAAAACGGAGAAGTACCCCAGGCGACCGGTCGCCACCCTACTTGCGACCGGTCGTTTTTACACAGAGTTGAAGATTCTCACGAAGTACCCCAGGC